TAAATCACATCAAGAAAGCATCCAGTGTAGTGAAGAGCTGGGCCAATTTTACTATTTTCTTTCTCTCCTGTACAGAGAGCACGGAAGTTCTCGACAGTCTTCGGGACATGATCGTAAAAGAGCTGAAATGGAATACAGATTGGGATATAGACGAAGTGAGATACAAACCTCTATGACGAGCCGTTTGGGTGTCTTCCATCCAACTTGAATGTCTAAAAACACTTTAGGCTTGTGATTATTCCTGAAAAACAACCATGAATTCCACTTGCAACTCCCAAAGATGGTAACTTACAGCTGTCCACAGTTCACGATAATGATTCCATCGGCTGTTTTTCCACTTCGAATCCCATATTGTGTCATATCCCAGACAAATTCCAATCCGTCAATTACTTTTCCAACGATAATGTAGTCATCACCGGCAACATCAGTGGTGATGAAGAACTTGGATGAGTTCGTGTTTGGTCCAGCGTTAGCCTTGAAAATGACAAAAAAGATCATTCGCAGTACTCAAGAAATATACCATGCCGACGTGGTACTTATCGTGAGGTTCCCTCTGGAAGTTTTCATCGTTGAACTTCTCTCCGTATATGGATTCTCCTCCTGTCCCGTCTCCAAGTAACATTTAGACAAGAGCTGAATGATCCAATTCATCGGAACAGACGAGTCTGGAACATATTTGAAAGATTAGGTAAAAGACAACTTGGAGAGAATCCTCTCCCTCACAAACATCAAAACAAAGAGAGATCGCCAGTCATAGAAACAGTCTTGGCTGGATGTTAACAACGAAAGGAAAAGACGATGTATGATCAGATATATCATTCAAAAGCGTATAAAACCACAAACTCAATAGCAGACTTCAGGTTCAAAAGAAAAACCGTTGAACACCTTTCAACAAGGGAACAAGGGAATAACAGAGAAAATACAAACGAACGATCGAACGATTTATAGAAATAATCAAATTGAAACCTCAATAGAGAAACTTCCGAGTAATCAATCGATAATCGTTAACTTCCTGAGCGCAGGGGAAAAGGTAACGATTATCGATTGAAAATGAAAAAGGAAAAGTGATTTCAAGGAGTTTCATGTCTGCTTAAGCCTTGCTTCATCCCATCTCATCAGGCCAAAAGCGAATGATTAGGAGAAGCATAGCCTAGCGTTTAGAAAACATGAAACCCATAAATTATAAAAT